CTGTGCCATCTACATTATTTTCACTAGTAGAACTTCACAGTTCCTCTGACTCAGAGTAAAAGTTATTCTGAGTTACAACTATCAGTCACAGTAGTTTACACCTCATGTCCCCACTATGAATAGTTGAGTAAAATTACTGTAAATTATGTAGAGTACTATAAAATTATTCTACAGTACAGTACTGTACTGTAGTACAGCAGGTAAGGATACCCGCATTCTTAGTATTCAGTTGCCGTCTGCATCAGTGGACCAAGTCCACTGTACACTAACTTCAGAAAGCAACCAGATAATCATGAAATATTAATTTCATAATTTGGGAGTTGTGGACACCCATTATTGTACACCCATTATTGTACACCCCTCCCTTCCACTAATCTGTTAAAGAGAGGTTTTACTGTACATGTACACTGTACACTGGAAGGTAACCCACAAAAGTCAGACTGTGTAGGTTATTTCCATTGGTGTCCAGAATGTGACCATGTAACAGGCAGCAAATGTTATCTGGCTTGTTGACATGTCTCTCCCCACCAGCATTGAACATACAGTTGAGTTGAATACTCTACCACACTGTACATAAAACATTAAATTTTTGCTCTACTTTACCCTTAAAATGCAATTTCAACAACAATTTTGATAATTTATACAATGCTTGGTGTTGCTAAACTAATAACACAGTACCTCCTGTGTTTGTAAGTATGTATATTTGTATTTAAGTTATATACATGTATGTATATATGTAATGGTAAAAAAGAAGGTCTTAGACAGGGTTGTGTAATGTCACCATGGTTGTTTAATACGTATATTTATAGATGGGGTTGTAAAAGAAGTAAATGCTAGGGTGTTGGGGAGAGGGGTGGGATTAAATTATGGGGAATCAAATACAAAAATAGAGTTGACACAGTTACTTTTTGCTGATGATACTGTGCTTTTGAGAAATTTTAAAGAAAAGTTGCAAAGGCTAGCGGACGAGCTGGGAGGGTGTGTAAAGGTAGAAAGTTGAAAGTGAACATAGATAAGTGTAAGGTGATGAGGGTATCAAACGATTTAGATAAAGAAAAAATGTATATCACATTGGAGAGAGGAAGTATGGAAGAAGTGAATGTTTTTAGATATTTGGGAGCTGACTTGTCAGCAGATGGATTTATGAAGGATGAGGTTGTGATGAATGGTTTGAAAAACCGACATGTTGAAGATTGAGACACTTATGCAGCATATGGGAATCTTTATTCAGGAAACGTTTCGCCACACAGTGGCTTCATCAGTCCAATACAAAGAGGAAGGCGTAAGGAGAGGAGGAGAATGAGGTAATCAGTCCCTCAACCTGGAGTCGATGTGTTCAGTCCATCAATCTTGTAGAATGTACAGCATAGGGCCGTAGACGTGGCTTATATACTGTAGTGAGGTGAGGTGAAGCAGGCGGAGGCGGGTCATAGTGGTACCATCCACTAATCGAAGTAAGTCTTCGTCCAGTGGATGGTACCACTATTGACCCCGCCTCCGACTGAACACATCGATCCCAGGTTTGAGGGACGATTACCTCATTCCCCTCCTCTCCTTACGCCTTCCTTTGGTATTGGGAAACTGATGAAGCCACTGTGTGCGAAACGTTCCTGAATAAGTTTCCCCATATGCTGCATAAGTGTTCAATCTTAAAACATGGGTTTTCAAACCATTCATCACAACTGTCAGACATGCAGCATCATGGGATCTTATTACAAAGAATTCTTCAACACTTGTTCAACCTTTGGACGGAAGACCAAACTTCGACTAGGGGATGGTACCACTATGACCCCGCCTCCACCTGCTTTCACGTCACTACAGTATATAAGCCACGTCTACGGCCCTATGCTGTACATTCTACAAGATTGATGGACTGAACACATCGACTCCAGGTTGAGGGACTGATTACCTCATTCTCCTCCTCTCCTTACGCCTTCCTCTTTGTATTGGACTGATGAAGCCACTGTGTGGCGAAACGTTTCCTGAATAAAGATTCCCATATGCTGCATAAGTGTCTCAATCTTCAAGGATGAGGTTAACCATAGACTTGATGAAGGAAAAAAGGTGAGTGGTGTGTTGAGGTATATGTGGAGACAAAAAACATTATCCATGGAGGCAAAGAAGGAAGTGTATGAAAGTACAGTGGTACCTTGGGATACAAACTTATTTCGTTCCAGAAGGCTTTTCGAGTGCTGATACTGAATGAATTTGTTCCCATAAGGAATAATGTAAATTAGATTAATCCAGTTCAGACACCCAAAAATACACTTACAAAAGCACTTACATAAATACACTTAAAATAATTGCTCACGTTTTGAGCTGTTCGTATCCCAAGGTATCACTGTATAGTGGTACCAACGCTCTTATAAGGTGTAAAACTTGGGTTGTAAATGCTGCAGTGAGGAGGTGGCTGGAGGCAGTGGAGAAGTCCTATCTAAGGGCAATGTGGGGGTGTAAACTTATGCAGAGAATTTGGAGTGTGGAAATTAGGAGGTGGGAGTACAAAAAGAATTAGTCAGAGGGCTAAGGAGGGGTTTTTGAGGTGGTTCAGACATGTAAGAGGGACTGAACAATATAGAATGACTTCGAGAGTGTATACATTTGTAGTGGAGGGAAGGCGGGGTAGGGGTCAGCCTAGGAAAGGTTGGAGGGAGGTAAAGGAGGTTTTGGTGCGAGGGGCTTGGGCTTCCAGCAAGCATGCACGAGCGTGTTAGATAGAGCGAATAGAGACAAAATGGTTTTTAGGACTTGAGGTGCTGTTGGAGTGTGAGCAAGGTAACATTTAAAAAGGGGGTTCAGGCAAACTGGCAAGTTGGACTTGAGTCCTGGAGATGGGGAAGTACAGTGTCTACACCCTGAAGGAGGGGTGTTAATGTTGTAGTTTTATAAAACTGTAGTGTAAGCGCACCTCTGGCAAGACAGTAATGGAGTGAAAGCTGATGAAAGTTTTTCTTTTTCGGGCCACCTGCCTTGGTGGAGATGGCTGATGTGTTAATAAAAAAAAATGTAACATGGCTACAGATGTGTGCACCACGGGAATCGTACTACATGAAGAAAGGAAACGAGGGCTTTTCTTGTGCCTGAAGGAGAATGCTTTCTACTGAGACCCAACCAAACCAGCCTCAGGAACTACGACCTACAAGCATTTAAGTCCTCGTGTGCATTTCCCTTGCACATTAATCTTTTTCTTCTTCTTCTCTCAACAAACCGGCCGTATCCCACCGAGGCAGGGGGGCCCAAAAGAAAAACAAAAGTTTCTCTTTTTTAAATTTAGAAATTTACGGGAGAAGGGGCTATTAGCCCTTGCCCCCGGCATTTTAGTTGCCTTTTAACCCGTAATGGTCCGAACGAAATATATACAATGTCGTTTTTTCAACATTGAAAGTATGTAAAAAAAGTAGATCTTCTTTTTGTTTTTTTACATTTGAAATGTGTAAAAGAAACTTTGATCTACTTTTTTTTTTGTTATATTTGAAAATATGTAAAAAAAACGTAGATCTACTTTTGGAGCAATACACATGTGAACGTAGATCTGCTTGGACCGTTTAGGGGTTTAAAACACGCATGGCTTACGGAGGAAGAAATTCTTTTCCACTTCCCCAGGAGATAGAGGAAATAAACAAGAACAAGAACTAGAAAGAAAATAGAAGAAAACCCAGAGGGGTTTTGTAAAATATATGCTTGTACATGTATGTGTAGTGTGACCTAAGTGTAAGTAAAAGTAGCAAGACGTACCTGAAACCTTGCATGTTCATGAGACAGAAAAAAGGACACCAGCAATCCTACCATCATGTAAAACAATTACAGGTTTTCGTTTTACACTCACTTGGCAGACGGTAGTACCCCCCTGGGCGGTTGCTGTCTACCAACCTACTACCTACAATTAATCATTTCTCTTGTTGAATTTTAAAAATCTCGGGTCTCAGGTGTATGAGCATTCAAATCCCACTTCTCACATTTAACTTTGTAGTTTTGGTGAAAAGGTAGAACCAGAAGGTAATAAAAAAGATTTAAGAAATAATGTGAACTTTATAATTGTAGTTAACTGCACAAAAAATCCTACTAAATAGTCTGTTTATTTTCTTAGTAGTTTTTAAGGTTTAAATATTATAGTGTTAAAATGAGGAATGCTTTTGCTCTTTTAATCTGGAAAAAATACATTGTTCATTTTATCCCATATGTCATTTTAAAATTTCATTTTGTATCTGACTAAAAGTGATATATTTTAGATCAGGGTTTAAAAAAAACTCAACAAAAAGAATTCAGGATAGGAATGTTGAAACAAGATGCCTACAGATTACCTAACAGCTTTAAACACACATCATCTAATCTGGCATGAAATTTTGCACCAAAAAAATTTTAAAAAAATCAACATAAGGAAAAACTGATAAAAAAAAAATTATGGCAGAAAGGAAGCTTTTACCGAGACAATGTTTTCCTTGGAGACCAATTTTTTCAAGCCTACAGTACTTTTTCTTTAAGCAAACCACTGTTTTAAATTCAAATTAAATTGTTTATCAGTACAAAAATAATGTAGTTTACATGTAATAAAAAATAGTTACAATATTTTAAACACAAAATAAAGCCACTAGTATGCAATGCACTTCTGGTAAACTAATATTAATGCTTAAACATGGTAGGCTATACATACTGAAAGGGGGTATACATCTACATAAAATAATATACGTATACTTTTTAACACCCGGCCATCTCCCACTGAGGCCGTCTCCCACTGAGGCCATCTCCCCCCTGAGGCATTCCACTGAGGCCATCTCCCACTGAGGCCATCTCCTATTGAGGCCATCTCCCACTGAGACAGGGTGACTTGAAAAAGAAGAAATTCTCTTATAAGTTTGTCTTTTTGCATTTAATAGTTTATACAGGGAAAAAAGGTTACTATATATATTTATGTTTTAACCCTTGTCTTAGAAAATAAATAGTACATATATGTATGTATTGAAGTCTGAAGTCTTTAAATCTAATCAAAGTTCCCATTACTAATGTTATGTAAAGTTTCAGCTTTAAAGTCCGTACGCGGGTTCAGTGCGGCCTTTGATAAGGTTACTGTTATTGTTAATTTTTAAATTCAAGACCACCAATTATACCTTCATTGTATTGTGTAAAGTTCTTATTTCTGTATTAACAAAAACACAAATTTACAACAATGAATAATGAGACTAGTTGTATTTGCTATCCCTTTTTATGCTTAATTAATACATTCTTCTCATTTATTTTCTAAAGTTTTTCTAGTTCTTTTAATTGTTACTTTTGTAATGGCATTAATGCGCTTATTTTTAAATGTATTTCACCAATAATTTGAATCACTTGTATTCTTTTCAGGATGACACTGTGGTGTACCTGGGCTGTCCCAGCATTATAAATGGTGAGTGTGCAATTTTGTAAGATTGCAGTCATTAAGCTTTAGAACATAAGAACATAAGAAAGGAGGAACACTGCAGCAGGCCTGTTGGCCCATACTAGGCAGGTCCTTTACAATTCATCCCACTAACAAACATTTGACCAACCCAATTCTCAATGCCACCCAAGAAACAAGCTCCGATGTGCAAGTCCCTCTCAAATCCAACCCCTCCCACTCATGTACTTATCCAACCTAAATTTGAAACTACCCAAAGTCCTTGCCTCAATAACCCAACTAGGTAAGGGTCTTGGGCTCTTCTCTTAATGAGGCTGTTTAGGTGACTTGATTAGGTTGTGTTTTATTTACTTCACAATATGTATGGAGGCAGTCTGGTAGTATTATATTTTGACCTGAACCATTATGTTGCTGATGTAGAAAACATTAAATTAATTTACAGTTTTTAATGTGTTGGGATCCTTCAAGGTAGGGGAGGGGGGAGGCTTAGATAATGAAGAGTTCTTGATCCAAGGAACTGGAACTATCCTAACTTTCCTTGGATCAAATAATATTGTTTGCCATTCTCCAGGCCCTGTATGATCTCTGCAGGTTTAGAGTTTCCCCAGAAATTTAGTAATAATAAGTCATCCTTACTGGTAGAAGTTCATTGACCGTCTTTATTTCTACTGCTGACACAAGGATTTCAGGTAGATATAACACAGCCTGAAGGTTATGTACTGAAGTTTGACCTGGATGCTCCTGAATACCCACATGAGAGACATCTAGGGCAGGAGTGTGGCCAGGAGTCTCACTATGAAGGCTGGGCCATGACTCAGAGGATGCTTGCTTCTAGCAGTGTGGTGGTGACTTCCTGTGGTAACCAGAAGAGAGTAAGTAACCCCCATGAATATGGCATGGGTTGACTGGGTATGGGATGTGGGTATAGCAGGCAAATAAAGAGGAAGTATACTAAGGGTGGATATATGGGACAGGTGGTGCAAGTGGATAGGGGTTATAGTTACACGAAAGGTATGTGGGATGTGGTCCTTATAAGGTGCCTTGATACTACTCAAAAGATCTTGATTTTAAGCAATAGGAGGTACCCTACCTTTCCTCAGATCAAATTTGATTACCTCCCATTCCCAAGTAGTATATAACTATTACAGGTGTAGTATATACCCATGGTAGCAGAGCAGGTGCTGCGCAACTTAACATTAAGAGTGACAGCACTCTAATTGCCAGACATAATGAGGGCAAATTCCTAGGCCTATACCTCGACAACAAAAGACTTGGCAGACGATGCAATGTTCGCGGCTTTCACTGAGACCCACATAAAGGATCACTTGAACAACGAAATATGGATCCCAGGTTACAACCTATACAGATGTGACAGAGTGAACAGGCAAAAGGGAGGGGGGAGTTGGCCTGTACATTGCAGAGTCACTTATTTGCACAGAACTGCTTAATGCCTCAAATGATGTAGTGGAAGTTTTAGCAGTAAAGGTCGAGAACCAAAACCTAGTCATTGTGGTAGTCTACAAGCCTCTGGATGCAACATCCCAGCAATTCCAGGAACAGCTGTTAAAAATTGACCACTGTCTGGAAAATCTTCCAGCTCCTGCACCCAACATCTTGCTCCTGGGGGATTTCAACTTAAGGCACCTAAAATGGAGGAATATAGCAAATAATATTGTTGCAGTAATAACACCAGGAGGCAGCTCTGATGAAAACTCACACTCACATGAGCTTTTAAATCTCTGCACAAAATTCAATTTAAACCAGCAAATAATAGAGCCTACTAGACTGGAGAATACACTAGACCTCATCTTCACTAACAATGATGATCTGATAAGAAATGTCACCATATCAAAAACAATATACTCAGATCACAACATAATTGAGGTTCAGACATGTATGCGTGGAGCCCCAGACCGACATGATGAGACTAGTCACGAGGGAGCATTCACCAAATTCAACTTCAATAACAAAAACATAAAGTGGGACCAAGTAAATCAAGTCCTAACTGATATAAGCTGGGAAGATATACTATGCAACACAGACCCCAACTTATGCCTAGAACAGATTAACTCGGTGGCACTCGATGTATGCACAAGGCTTATTCCTCTAAGAAAAAGGAGGAGTAGATGTAAAACAGAAAGAGACAGGCGCTCCCTTTACAGGCGACGGAAAAGAATAACAGAGCGGCTAAAAGAGGTCAATATTATTGAAATGCGTAGGGAGACACTGGTCAGAGAAATAGCAAGCATCGAACTTAAGCTAAAAGAATCCTTTAGGAGTCAGGAATCGCGGGAAGAACTAAAAGCCATAAATGAAATCGAAAGAAACCCAAAGTATTTCTTCTCCTATGCCAAATCAAAATCGAGAACAACGTCCAGTATTGGGCCCCTACTTAAACAAGATGGGTCCTACACAGATGACAGCAAGGAAATGAGTGAGCTACTCAAGTCCCAATATGACTCAGTTTTTAGCAAGCCGCTAACCAGACTGAGAGTCAAAGATCAAAATGAATTTTTTATGAGAGAGCCACAAAATTTGATTAACACAAGCCTATCCGATGTTATCCTGATGCCAAATGACTTCGAACAGGCGATAAATGACATGCCCATGCACTCTGTCCCAGGGCCAGACTCATGGAACTCTGTGTTCATCAAGAACTGCAAGAAGCCCCTATCACGAGCCTTTTCCATCCTATGGAGAGGGAGCATGGACACGGGGGTCGTCCCACAGTTACTAAAAACAACAGACATAGCCCCACTCCACAAAGGGGGCAGTAAAGCAACAGCAAAGAACTACAGACCAATAGCACTAACATCCCATATCATAAAAATCTTTGAAAGGGTCCTAAGAAGCAAGATCACCACCCATCTAGAAACCCATCAGTTACACAACCCAGGGCAACATGGGTTTAGAACAGGTCGCTCCTGTCTGTCTCAACTATTGGATCACTACGACAAGGTCCTAAATGCACTAGAAGACAAAAAGAATGCAGATGTCATATATACAGACTTGCAAAAGCCTTCGACAAGTGTGACCATGGCGTAATAGCGCACAAAATGCGTGCTAAAGGAATAACAGGAAAAGTCGGTCGATGGATCTATAATTTCCTCACTAACAGAACACAGAGAGTAGTCGTCAACAGAGTAAAGTCCGAGGCAGCTACGGTGAAAAGCTCTGTTCCACAAGGCACAGTACTCGCTCCCATCTTGTTCCTCATCCTCATATCCGACATAGACAAGGATGTCAGCCACAGCACCGTGTCTTCCTTTGCAGATGACACCCGAATCTGCATGACAGTGTGTTCCATTGCAGACACTGCAAGGCTCCAGGCGGACATCAACCAAATCTTTCAGTGGGCTGCAGAAAACAATATGAAGTTCAACGATGAGAAATTTCAATTACTCAGATATGGTAAACATGAGGAAATTAAATCTTCATCAGAGTACAAAACAAATTCGGGCCCACAAAATAGAGCGAAACACCAACGTCAAAGACCTGGGAGTGATCATGTCGGAGGATCTCACTTCAAGGACCATAACATTGTATCAATCGCATCTGCTAGAAAAATGACAGGATGGATAATGAGAACCTTCAAAACTAGGGAGGCCAAGCCCATGATGACACTCTTCAGGTCACTTGTTCTATCTAGGCTGGAATATTGCTGCACACTAACAGCACCTTTCAAGGCAGGTGAAATTGCCAACCTAGAAAATGTACAGAGAACTTTCACGGCGCGCATAACGGAGATAAAACACCTCAATTACTGGGAGCGCTTGAGGTTCCTAAACCTGTTTTCCCCTGGAACGCAGGAGGGAGAGATACATGATTATATACACCTGGAAAATCCTAGAGGGACTAGTACTGAACTTGCACACGAAAATCACTCACTACGAAAGCAAAAGACTTGGTAGACGATGCACCATCCCCCCAATGAAAAGTAGGGGTGTCACTAGCACGTTAAGAGACCATACAATAAGTGTCAGGGGCCCGAGACTGTTCAACTGCCTCCCAGCACACATAAGGGGGATTACCAACAGACCCCTGGCAGTCTTCAAGCTGGCACTGGACAAGCACCTAAAGTCAGTTCCTGATCAGCCGGGCTGTGGCTCGTACGTTGGTTTGCGTGCAGCCAGCAGCAACAGCCTGGTTGATCAGGCTCTGATCCACCAGGAGGCCTGGTCACAGACCGGGCCGTGGGGGCGTTGACCCCCGGAACTTTCTCCAGGTAAACTCCAGGTAAACAACCTGAATTTCAGCACCCATATCCAACAAATATCAAAAAAAGTATCCAAAACAGTTGGGATCCTCTCCAAGATACGATACTACGTGCCGCAAAATGCCCTTCTCACACTATACCATTCACTCATTTATCCATACCTCACCTATGCTATTTGTGCTTGGGGATCAACTGCAGCAATACACCTAAAGCCAATAATAACTCGACAAAAAGCTGCAATAAGAATAATCACTAATTCCTATCCCTGGCAACACCCCCTCCCCACTCTTCATAGATCTAAACTTACTCCCTGTTCAGAACATCCACACTTACTACTGTGCAATCTACATATACAGGACCTTAAATTCCAGTATTAACCTTGACCTAAAATGCTTTCTTGATAGTTGTGACAGGACCCACAGGCATAACACCAGACACAAACATCTCTACGACATTCCCCGTGTCCGACTAAACCTTTACAAAAACTCAATGTATGTCAAAGGCCCTAAAATCTGGAACACCCTACCTGAAACTCTAGAACAGCAGACACATTCATCACCTTCAAAACTACTGTTAGAAAACATCTTATCTCCCTGATACACCCCACCAACTAACTACATAAAAACCACCTGGTGGTCCACATTTACACTCACTCTCCCATTCGACTATAAGCACAGAAATACGTATCCTATTCTTAAAATAATGATTCCTAACTAGTCATAAGTTTGCTTGTGATACTCTAATATAGAAACTATGTATTGTGCCAAAACAAAAGCATTCACATTGCTAAACTCACAAACTAGTATTTGTCACTTAGTATTTAGTCAACTTACTCAACAATTTGTTATAATTTAGGGTTAAGAATTAATCTAAGTTTGCCCGAAATGCCTAGCCATGCTAGGTGTTCTAGTGGCCCCCTCTGTAATTAGTATTTTACTACATGTAAACCACACAATAACCAAAATCTGTAAACCCTGCATTGTAATCCTTATAGGGAATAAACTTTGATTTGATTTGATTTGAATATCTACAGGTGTAGTATATACCCATGAATATCTACAGGTGTAGTATATACCCATGAATATCTACAGGTGTAGTATATACCCATGAATATCTACAGGTGTAGTATATACCCATGAATATCTACAGGTGTAGTATATACCCATGAATATCTACAGGTGTAGTATATACCCATGAATATCTCAGTTGTCATTACTGTGTTACAATACCCAGGTACCTGTTGTGGACTTGCAAAAATTTTGGCTGAGTTTTGATAAACCTTAATGTAGAATATCCTCACATTTAGGGATTGTATTTATTATTGTACAGTATTATTTTGTGTGAATGGTTTATACTTTGGGGAGGAAGGAACGTTAATTTTAGCTATGGATGTGTGTTTGAGTGTGGTGGACACGTGGGTGGGTGTTGTAAACATTTGTATTGCATAATGCACTGAAAGTCTTTTTTAATCAATAATTTAAAGTTCCTTCTGCAAATTATCTGGGTAACATTCATGCTAATCTTCTACTGCTGTAGCTAATTAGCAACACCCAGACTGGTATAGGTTGAGCCACAATTAGTTTAATATCTCTATGCACCTTCAAACCCATCCTGTGGGTGGTAGTTGAAAGATTACTGGCAGAAGTTAGCTGTTGGATGGTACTGAATGATCCACACAAGTTTGTGAACTTGATGTTCATCTAGCAGTAAACATGTACCCAGGTGGTAGTCACTTGTTATGCATCACATCCTGGGAAGTGGAAGTCAGTGGCAGTGCCAAGGGGGACTGAAGCCTCCAAAATTCCATAAGCCCCCTAAAGCCCCCAAATAAAAAAAAAATACTTTAAGGCAAGTTCCCTAGCCTCTAATTCAAACCAGACTGCCACTGCTAAACCCCTCCTGTATCAAACTTTTGTAGCCACCCCTGGCAGTAGTGTACCAGAGATAGGGCTTTGGAATAAGCTAATGTAGGACAACCATTCTTAGCCTGTAAATTCCGTAAATAATGAAGCTCATGTAGGTGGTGGAGCTGGAGATGATGACACAGTTGCTGGAGGGAGCAAGGGACACTGGAGAACTGCTGGGGTCGGTGCTGGAGAGCTGCGATCTTGATGGAGATGGTGAGGATGAGGTGCTGGTGGGTGCTCCTCTAGGGAAAGTACATACCTCTTCAGGCTACACCGAACCTGGCAAAGTCATCATCCTGGGAACCAAGGTTTGCCATCACACTAATATATTCATGGGGAAGTGCTAGACCAATACTGTGCAGCTCCTGGGGAATAAAAGGTAATCAAGTTTGATCTAGAGAATAGAGAATGGCTCCAGAAGTCTGAATCAAGAGCCCCACACTGTCAAGGTACAATAATAAGCATTTGCTGTTTTTTCTAACTGCACATCTCAGGGAAGGTACCTTGATGCCAGTAATGGGAGCTTGATTCAAGAACCTGGATTTTCCTTCCCTTGGACTATATTTGAATGCCTGCCTTTCTCCAAGTGCAATATGACCCCTTATGGGTTTTGTGCTTCCCCTTGATTAAAAAATTCTTGCATATTCAATGACCTATACAAGTTTAACACATGTTTTCAATATAATATTAATACTGCTGAGTTTTCTCATTCATTTTGTCACTTTTCTCAACATTTTGTGTTAGTGGATTATAACTTTGGTCCTGGATTATTTCAGTGTTCATTGTGTATGAATTATTGTCTGTTAATGTATATTCTTATTTACTGTGACTCTGGACTTCTGAATATTTTTAAAATGTAATCATTCTTCCTTTCACACTCCTCCCATCCCCTCCCCACACACATACTCTGACACTCACACACTCAGTCACACACACACTCAGTCACACACAGTCACACACACACTCAGTCACACACACACTCAGTCACACACACACTCAGTCACACACACACTCAGTCACACACACACTCAGTCACACACACACTCAGTCACACACACACTCAGTCCCACACCGTCACACACATCAGTCACACACACTCAGTCTCACACACACACTCAGTCACACACACACTCAGTCACACACACAACTCAGTCAACACACACACTCAGTCACACACACACTCAGTCACACCATCACAACTCAGTCACACACACACTCAGTCACACACACACTCAGTCACACACACTCAGTCACACACACACTCAGTCACACACACACTCAGTCCACACACACACTCAGTCACACACACACTCAGTCCCCACTCACACACCACTCAGTCACACACACACTCAGTCACATCACACTCAGTCACACACACTCATCCACAACACACTCAGTCACACACACACTCAGTCACACCACACCAGTCACACACACTCAGTCTACACACACACTCAGTCACACACACACACTCAGTCACACACACACTCAGTCACACACACACTCAGTCACCACATCAGTCACACACCACTCAGTCACACACACACTCAGTCACACACACACTCAGTCACACACACACTCAGTCACACACACACTCAGTCACACACACATCATAACACATCAGTCAACACACACTCAGTCACACACACACTCAGTCACACACACTCAGCACACACTCAGTCCACATCACACACACATCAGTCACACACACACTCAGTCACACAATCACACACATCAGTCACACACACACTCAGTCACACACACACTCATCACAGCACATCACACCACACTCAGTCACACACACACTCAGTCACACACACACTCAGTCCACACACATCACTCAGTCACACCACAACCACATCAGTCACACACACACTCAGTCACACACACTCAGTCACACACACACTCAGTCACACACAACCAGCACTCAGTCACACACCATCACACTCAACGTCACACACACACTCAGTCACAACACACACACACACACTCAGTCACACACACACACTCAGTCACACACACACACTCAGTCACCACACACACACTCAGTCACACCCACACCACTCAAGTCACACACACACTCAGTCACACACACACACTCAGTCACACACACACACTCAGTCACACACACACACTCAGTCCACACATCATCACAACACACTCAGTCACAACACAAACACACACTCAGTCACACACACACTCAGTCACACACACACACTCAGTCACACACACACAGTCACACACACACACTCAGTCACACACACACTCAGTCACACACACTCAGTCACACACCACTCAGTCACACCATCACATCAGTCACACACACACTCAGTCACACACACACACTCAGTCACACACACACACTCAGTCACACACACACTCAGTCACACACACACACTCAGTCACACACACACACTCAGCTCACACAGCACACACTCAGTCACCCCATCGTCAAACCACACACTCAGTCACACACACACACTCAGTCACACACCACACTCAGTCACACACACACACTCAGTCACACACACACACTCAGTCACACACAACACTCAGTCACACACACACACTCAGTCACACACACACACTCAGTCACACACACACTCAGTCACACACACACTCTAGTCACACACTACACTCAGTCCACACACACACTCTAGTCACATCCTTCATCCCACCACTCACACACACATCAGTCCAGCACACAACACACACTAGTCACACACACACCAGTCACACACACACACTCGTCACACACTCACACATCAGTCACACACACACTCAGTCATCACACTACACATCTCAGTCACAACACACACTCAGTAATCAATCACTATAGTACTCACCCACACAGTCACACACACCATTCCACTCATTCAACCACCAAAGTCACACCATAATTAGTGTGTCAACACATCAGTATAACACATCACTCAGTCACACAGCACTACTCAGTGAGCACCAACACATAGCACACACTCACACATGTCTCTCTTGATGTACTTCCTCTTCTCATACACTACCTTTTTCCATTTCATTCCTCCCTAATACCAATCACTCTATGAATGTAATGTATTTTTGGTGCGTCCACAGGCATACAGTACACATCAATACAGTCTTGACACTTCATGCAGTTTGGTACCAGCATCGCTCCTGCCTCGGAACCTCAACAGTATGGCTCAAGTCTTGTATCCTTTTGCTTGCAGTCGTTGATGTTTCCTAAAGGAAGTTACCATCATACTGGTGAGGGATATTTTTGTATCCCAGGTATATGGAACATTAGAACTCTTCTCCACTTACATGGACCAAACCTCATTGCCTCATTTCCAGAAGTTGAATGACCCAATATAGATTTTAGTCTGTTCATAAAAATACAGTAATAATTAATATATAATAAAGTTCATATGTTGTAGCATATCATTTGGAAAAGTCTTAAGTTTTTTAATTGGTACCAGCCTTCATAGAACTATTCTTCCACTCTAGTCCACTCAGATACATACATGCTACTTGCCTTTCTTCCTCTTGGCTCTGCCTCTTTACTTCCTTCTTGACCTGCCTCTCCTCTCCTACAGATGTGGCAGTGGGAGCACCTCAGCACTCTGGTGGAGGAGCAGTATTTATCTTCCTTGGGTCAGTCACAGGCATAAGGTCATCACCATCCCCAGGTACATGCATCTGCCTGCCCACTTGCCCATGCACATGGTACCAGGAGCTAGCGCTCACTTCCCCCATCCAAAACCTCTAAACAATTATATCTGTTTCCATATTTATAAATAAAGTTTATGATCTAAGTATATATAAATAGCTTTTCAATATGGTTACTGCAGCAATATTCATATTGCATAAATGTCTATAACAGTATCTTATAAATGTGTATAACAGTATGTTATAAATCTTCTTCTTTCAACGTACCAGCCGTATCCCACTCAGGTGAGGAGGCCCAAAGGAAAAAACGAAAGTTTTTATGTTATAAATTATATATATATATATATATATATATATATATATATATATATATATATATATATATATATATATATAAGTATCTGTTATAAATGTTCATAAGAGTATCTGTCATAAATACAGTGGAACCTTGGTATGCACCCTTAATTCATTCCAGAAGGCTGTTTGAGTGCCACTCCGTTTTAGTATCGAACAAATTCTTCCCAACCAATTTTCTGTTTGGTTGGCTGTTATTACTAATCATTGTAGGCCCCATGGTGACTTATTTATACAAATAATACAAAAAATGTGAAGAAACACGAAATAGTTTACAGCGAAGTTCTGGCAGGTTGTATTTGTTTGTTCGAGTACTGAGCTTTGTTCGAGCAGGGAGCTGCTCGTATACTGAGGTTCCACTGTAAATCAATTCACTTCTTCATTATTAAGAGGAGGGTGATGGACTGTGATGTCAGCACACTTCTGGTAAGACATATTGAATAAGTAATGTTCATTTGTGTTTCCTCACCTTTGGCTCACTCTACCTTGCTGGAGGACAGCTGCTGTGTTAAAAAGAACAATTTATTTGTATAGTTGAGAATTTATGAACCAAGAGTGCCCTAATTTAGGTTTTGCTAAGACCCTCTTTAAAACTGTCCTTCATGGAGGGAGAAGTCTTGAGCAAGAAATCAGCATTATCCTCTCTACCCTTGGATGACATCTGATTACCTTCTATTCCCCAGTCAGTGTGTGTTCTTCATTGAGGTATACAGGGTATAATGCTACCCTTCTAGTTTTTTAATGACCCTATGAAGCTGAAAACCCCTATGGATCAGAACAGGAAATACAGGCTTGACCTTTTGCCCCTAGTCATGAGGAACTAGCTAGCTGCACTCTTTAAAGTCTTGTGATGTGTTGTGCAGGTGCTGCAGCTGGCTGAGTTCTCCTCCAGCAGGAGGAGAGGTTTTGGCTACAGTCTTGCTGGTGGGAAAGACGTCGATGGTAATGGATATCCAGACCTCTTGGTGGGGGCGCCCATGTCAGATGCTGCCTTCTTCTTTAGGTGGGTCCTTGATACCATTTATTAGGTAAGTTCCTGATACTGTACCTTCTTCAGGTAGGTCCTTGATGCCTTCTTCAGGTAGGCCCTTGATATCTTCTGTGATGCTTTGATAACTGTCAGGTAGGGCCTAGTGTTGGTTCCTTCAGATAGGTTGGTTTTCTTGTGAAGAGCCAAACATGACCTCCTTGGCAAATGCTTGGAACAGATTGTGGATATGTCTTGTATAATGACTTTGAATTGTTTAATTGCTCTGTGAGCACTCTGTAACAGTAATTTAGTCACAGTAGTAACTAGAAATTGATAACAATGTCAGTAATTGTTTTAGTGCTGAATAACCAAATAATTCTAATGTAAATTAAGGAAATCAGTATGATTTTGACTGTGAATTTAACTGACTATGAGTCTGAAACTAACTTTAGCCTCTGCTTCTCTGTCACACTCACTTTCCTGTTGCATTTTCTCACAGGACAGCACAGGTGCTGCAGCTTCAGGTGTCAATGTTTGAGTTTAGCACCAGCCAGGTGGACCTTCAGGAGAGGAACTGCCTGGAGGAGGGTGAGGAGTGGGCACTCCGCGTGTGCTTCCACCTCCGTGTTCAGCTGGGTGTTCTGGGCCACCAGGGCAAGTTTGATATAGGTGAGGTGTATGACTGCATTTCTATTTCTCTCTCTCTCATCAGCGAGGGAATAGAAAGTAGTCTCACCCTTGCTTGAACTTTTAACCACCCACCATCTTAATTCCACTTATTGCCTGAAGTGGAGTAATTCCATTCAACTCAATCACTTCTCATAGCACAATTATAAATTATTTTATTACTACAGAGTATATGGATGTCTCAGTACCCCTTAATTAATAACCACTTTCTTTCACTCTGTTAAGTAAACTTACACCTGAATACTCCTTCAGAGCAGTTGGCACTTACAAACACTTAAACATTTACCAAATATATGCCAGAGTCCAGAATTAGCTTAAACCCTAGATTTAGTCTATTGATCCTGGGGCACCTCTTACCACTCATCTGGGTTACCTCCACTTATGTTCTATCTGGTCATATTCAGGGTACAATGGAACCTTGGTTTTTGTATGCCCTAGTCTGTATGTAAAACTATAGTTATTCTCTATAAAATGTATTTTTTGTTAATATTTCCCATAAGAAATGATGTAAATTCAATTAATCCACTCCAGACACTCAAAAATATTAACAAAAAAATACATTTTATAGAGAACCTTTGATATACCTTTGAAGAGTTTCGAGAGTTTCTCTACTCTCTGAGCCCGGCTATGGGTCAGGCTCATCTGGTGCTTGCCTGGTCAACCAGGCTGTTGCTGCTGGAGGCCCGTTACCCCACATGTCCAACACAGCCTGGTATATGAAAACTGAGGTTCCACTGTATGTAGATTTTTTTTCAATGCACTGACCGTCTCCTAAGTTTTTCTTTTTACATGTTGTAATTTATGCAGGAGTTAGTAGCTCCTTGGTCCTGGCATTATAGTTGCCTCTTACAACTCGCATGTATATAAAATATATCATAATATCAATATATCATTAATATACTATATATTGTATATAATTTTTTTCTCATACCTTTTTGTAAATGTCATTGACTGTAAATATATTGATTACGTGAAGTGGTAAACCCGTGAGCTATTCAGTGAAAGGTTTGGTACAGGCTCGGTAATCTGCCTGCTAATCGCAAACTACACTATTAGAATTTTATAGAAATTGACCTTGTAACCTATGCTGAGCTTTGACATTTCTTGATCCAGAAGTGAGAGTGCAGGTGGTACTGGACGGCAACTATCCCCGTCAAAGGATCTTCTTCAGAGACTCCACCAGTCAGCATGTTCAGGAGACAGTCCACATTGTAAATAGGATCCACCAGCTTGAGTATCACATCTATGCTGAGGTCAGACCATTAGAATTTAGTTTTAGTCTTTGCTAATAGTTTAGAGAGGAAATAAACCCACGATAAGTTGTAATGAATGACTGTCAATAAATAAACATTGACAACCATTCACTGTAACTTACTTTGGCTTTATTGACTACATGGCTTTAAATGGTATGAGAATAGATGTACCATGAAAATTTCTGAGGCTGTGGGATAAGACAGTAGGGTCACAGTTGGTGCTGCTGATACAAGCAAGTCATAGAAGTGGTTGTTGTAAAATACCCCTCATGTTAACTCTGTGGTTACACCATTGGTTAGTCCCTGTCCATTCTTCTGTTTATTCTTGAAGAAGATTATTATTATTATTATAATCAAGGGGGAAGCACTAAACCCGGAGGATTATACAGCGCCTGGGGGGGGGATGTGGAAGGCATTCAGGCTTAATTCGGGGAACTGGAGCACAGATCCAATTCCCTAAATCAGGAGCCCCTCACCAACATCAAGGAACCTTCCTTGAGGGGTCTTGGAGAAGAATTTTTAAACTTTCAATAAAAGTTTCTTCACTTGGCTGACAAATATTGAACTGTTGCAGCAACAATATTGTTATTTTTATTCTTCTTGATTTTCATGTTTTGTGGATTATACTCTACCTTAATTTTACTCATAAAAAATGCTCTGTTGTTGTAGATGTTCCATAACATATGACCACTATGGGTTTAGGGCACATGAATTATAGAGCAATAGGAAATACCATGAAAACTGTAGGACAGTTTGCATGGAAACTGCTGTTACATTACTATTTACATTCAAGGGAAGGAAATGTAAACCAGTATCTGGTATGTCTGCTTCCTAGTTAATTTATTCTTTAATAACCCAGTCAGATTCTCTTTGCCTTTCATTTGCAGCATCTGCCACATCGCTTCCCTATCCACCCTATCACATGCCTGTTCAAAATCCAGAAATTTTTGGAAAAAAACCTTCCTTCCCTTTTCTTCTTAGTTCATTTAAACCCATGTTTCGGTTTTTAAACACTTGGCTACTCATTTTTTTCCCCTTTTCCCTAAATCCCCCTTCCCCTTAAATGTTGGGGAAGAAAACCTGCCGTTACAAAAAAACCACTAAGCTTTATTGTAATACTGTGGGGGCAAAACTTGTGTGTCATCCAGATTTACTTTGATCACAAAAAACATTTTCCCTGACAGTTTGGCTGGGATGCTTATGCTGCACGCATGCAGCGAGCAGAAACCCAAAAACCCCTGACTGATAAAGCCCAAAAAAAAACGGGGAGGTTGGTCTGGAACTGGGCCAACCCCCTTTTTCCCTCGGGTTTTTTCCTTTAGTGATTTTTCTTGCTTTTGACCCTTTAAACCCGGGGGTCCCTTGTTTGCAGGTGAAAAGCTGTTCCCCCTGGGGAATTAGAGCTCCCCTTTCCCTTTTAATCACAAATGTTTTACCTCTCATTCTCCAGGAATTTATTTTAAACCCCCAAGGGGTTTTTGAGCCCCAAAACCCCAAATAAAATATAATGGGGGTTTTTTTTTCTCTACCTGCTTCCCTTTCTGCAGGAGCGGGCCCAAATGTGGGGGGGAAGGGCCTTTGGCCCTCGGGGTGCAGACCTGCAGGTAAACCGGGTGCAGGTGCACCCTCAAGAGCATGAGGATTTTCTGCCGGGTGGTGGAAGCCCCCAAAAACCTTCCCGGGTGGACCAGCACCACCTCTGTCAAATTCTTAGGCGGTAGGGGATCCCAATATTTGGTTTCGCCAAGCCCAAACTTTAACTCACCTTGGTTTAACCACAGGTAACCCTGGAGAGAGGGGAGGGAAGTGGGGTTAAGTTGGGGGAGAGTAAAGGGGGTGTAAACTGGGGAAAGCGAGGGGGGGGGGTTTAAAAAAACGGGGAGAGCAAAAGGAGGGTGTAAGCTAGGGGGGCCAAAAGGGGGGGGTAAGTTAGGGAGAGCGGGGAAAGGGGGTGTTTAGCTAAAGAAGGTGGGGAAAGGAAAAGTAAAGGGAAAACCAACTTTACAAGTTAAAAGGCTGGGGAAAAAAGACACCACAGCTTTCGGGGGGAAATAGTTCAACTCCAAGAAAGGGGGGGGAAAGGGGTAAAGGGTTGCATTGACCATGAACACCTTGATTCCACGAGACCCCCCTTGAGGGGACAATCCAAGCGCCGTTGTTTCCCCCCAATTAAAATAAAATCTTGCTATTTCCCCTACTAAAATTTAGGTCACACAACACATACATATTTTATTCAACTCACTGAGTTTTCATTTTTTATTTTTTTTAATTTTTTATTTTTTTTTTTTTTATTTCCTTTTCCGCCATGGGAAGGGGGGAAAAAAAAAATTTTTCCCCTTTTAAGCCCTTATGTTTGTAAAGGGGCAACTAAAAAGCCAAACAAGGGGGGCCTTATTACCCAATCTTTTTCCTGTTATAAATTTAGTAAATTAAAAAGAATCAAAAAAAAAAATTTGGGAATTAAAAACAGTTCCTTTTTCCCCTGAAAATACCTTTCCCCCCCTTAATTGGGGATTTTCCTTAAAGAAAAATTGAAAGGTTTTTGGTATTTTAAATTTTGAAATAAAATTTAAAAGTCTGGAAAAATTTTTGGTAAAGGGGGGTTTTATCCCAAATAAAATTTGTTTTAAAAAAAATTTGGGATAACAAATTGGGGAAAATTTTTAAATTAAAAAAGGTGAAAATTTTTCAAATTCCCTTTTAAGGAAAAGTTTTGACGTGGGCCCCAATTTTTTTTATAAATGATTAAAAACCCCCATAGTTTATGGGGAAAAAATTAAATGGCCCCTTATTTTTTATTTGGAAGTTCAAAATAATTTTTTGTTCCCCAATTTTTTCCCCTCACTGTTTGCCAAAAGGGTTGCTTTAACTACATTTTTTAAACTGCAACTTAACCCCCCCCCTTCAGAGTGAGGCACTGTATTCCCATCCCCCAGGCCCTAAAGTCCGGCCTCCCGGTTTCCTATTCCTTCATAAATGTTACTTTTGCTCCACACTCCAAACAGCCGTCAAGTTTTAAAAAACCCTTTTGTCTCTTACCCTACAAACACGTCCCATGCCGCTGGAAGCCAAAGCCCTCGCACACAAACCTCCTTTACCCCCCCCTCCCCCCTTCACCGACCCCCCCCGCCTTCCTTCCACTACAGACGATACCCTTGAAGTCTTCTTTTTCGCTCCATTCTCTCAAATGTCCGAACACCTCAACAACCCTTCCTCCCCCGGACAACATTTTGGTAACCCCGCCCTCCTCCTAACTTCCAAATACAAATTTCCTGCATTTTATTCACCCCACACATTGCCTCGACATGATTTTCCCCACGCCCCAGCCTTCCCTCCGAAACATTCTCCCCATGCTTCCACCCATAAAAGAGTTTTGGTAAAACTATACTCTCTACATTCCCCTCTTTGCCCAAGGACAAAGTTCTCTGTTCCCAGATCCAAGTGCCCATCACTTTTTTTTCCCTCATCAATTCAGATTACCCTCTTTATAGACCATCCGCTGACCCCTTCCACCCCCAAAAATTTCTGAATACGTTCCCCTCCTCCTACTCTCTCCCCCCAAATCTGAAATTAAATTTTTTTCATCACCTATCTTTTTTTTATCCCAAAACCTTACTCTTTTCCCGTATTTCCCCTTTAATTTTCTTCTTTTTCACACCCACCCAAATTCATCACCAATCTCTGCAGCTTCTCTCGATCTCCCAAAAGGGCCCGTGCATCAGCAAAAGCAGCTGTGACAACTCCCACCCTTTTGGATTCTTTTTCTTTTAACCCGCCTCTTGCCAGACCCTCGCATTTACTTTCCTTTCAACCCCCTTATAAAATATTAAAACAAACCCCGGGACATCACACATCCTTGCTTAAAGGCCCATTTTACTGGGAAAAAATTTTCCCCCTTTTTTAATACTCTACTGGCTCACTATCCTCGTAAAAAAATCTTACTGCTTTCATAACCTACCTCCTACACCATACACTTGCAACATTTCCACATTTCCCCTTTTCCCCCGTCATACGCCTTTTCCAAATCCAAAATGCCACAAAAACCTCTTACCTTATCTAAAACTGTTTACTTATAGTTTCATGTAAACACCTGGGCCCCACACCCCCACCCTTTCCCCAAAGCCTCTTTTTCATCTGCTATCCATTCCCTCTTCCTTAATTTTTTCAATTATAACCTTTTCCAAAACATTTACCAGGTAAATCAACAACTTATCCCCCTATAATTTTTTCACTTCTTTTTTCCCCTTTCCCTTTTTCAAAGGAACTTGCTGCCTCTGCCAAACCCCAGGGACCCTTCCTCTTCCCTACATTTATTTATTGCACCAAACCCTCCAAAAACTATCCCCCCTGCTTTTAACATTTTTATTTTATCCCTCAATCCCCGGTGCCTTACCCCCTTTCATTTTTCCACGCCCACGAACTTCCCCACACTCACAACTGGCTCTTCCTCACTCCTACAAGATGTTATTCCTCCTTGCCCTATACACGAAATCACAGCTTCCCTATCTTCATCAACATTTAACAATTCCTCAAAATATTCCCTCCATCTTCCCAATACCTCTAACTCTCCATTTAATAACTCTCCTCTCCTATTTTAACTGACAAATCCATTTGTTCTCTAGGCTTCCTTAACTTGTTAATCTCACTCCAAAACTTTTTCTTATTTTCAACAAAAATTTGTTGATAACAGCTCACCCACTCTCTCATTTGCTCTCTTTTTACATTGCTTCACCACTCTCTTAAACCTCTCTCTTTTTCTCCATATACTCTTCCCTCCTTGCATCACTTCTACTTTGTAAAAACTTCTCATATGCTAACTTTTTCTCCCTTACTACTCTCTTTACATCATCATTCCACCAATCGCTCCTCTTCCCTCCTGCACCCACTTTCCTGTAACCACAAACTTCTGCTGAACACTCTAACACTACATTTTTAAACCTACCCCATTCCTCTTCGACCCCATTGCCTATGCTCTCATTAGCCCATCTATCCTCCAATAGCTGTTTATATCTTACCCTAACTGCCTCCTCTTTTAGTTTATAAACTTCACCTCTCTTCCCTGATGCTTCTATTTCCTTGTATCCCATCTACCTTTTACTCTCAGTGAAAAAGAATTCTTCCTTTGTCAGTCATGTATGTTGTAAGAGGCAACTAAAAATGCCAGGAACAAGGGGCTAGTAACCAATCTTCTGTATAAATTAGTAAATGTAAAAAGAATCAAATTCAAAATGGGAATTGACACAGTTACTTTTGCTGATGATTACTGTGCTTATGGGAGATTCTAAAGAAAAATTGCAAAGGTTAATGGATGAGTTTGAGAATGTGTGTAAAGGTAGAAAGTTGAAAGTGAACATAGAAAAGAGTAAGGTGATGAGGGTATCAAATGATTTAGATAAAGAAAAATTGGATATCAAATTGGGAGGAGGAGTATGGAAGAAGTGAATGTTTTCAGATACTTGGGAGTTGACGTGTCGGCGGATGGATTTATGAAGGATGAGGTTAATCATAGAACTGATGAGGGAAAAAAAGGTGAGTGGTGCGTTGAGGTATATGTGGAGTCAAAAAACGTTATCTATGGAGGCAAAGAAGGGAATGTATGAAAGTATAGTAGTACCAACACTCTTATATGGATGTGAAGCTTGGGTGGTAAATGCAGCAGCGAGGAGACGGTTGGAGGCAGTGGAGATGTCCTGTCTAAGGGCAATGTGTGGTGTAAATATTATGCAGAAAATTCGGAGTGTGGAAATTAGAGAGGTGTGGAGTTAATAAAAGCATTAGTCAGAGGGCAGAAGAGGGGTTGTTGAGGTGGTTTGGTCATTTAGAGAGAATGGATCAAAGTAGAATGACATGGAAAGCATATAAATCTATAGGGGAAGGAAAGAGGGGTAGGGGTCGTCCTCGAAAGGGTTGGAAAGAGGGGGTTAAAGAGGTTTTGTGGGTGGGGGGCTTGGACTTCCAGCAAGCGTGCATGAGCGTGTTAGATAGGAGTGAATGGAGACGAATGATACTTGGGACCTGACGATCTGTTGGAGTGTGAGCAGGGTAATATTTAGTGAAGGGATTCAGGGAAACCGGTTATTTTCATATAGTCGGACTTGAGTCCTGGAAATGGGAAGTACAATGCCTGCACTTTAAAGGAGGGGGTTTGGGATATTGGCAGTTTGGAGGGATATGTTGTGTATCTCTATACGTATATGCTTCTAAACTGTTATATTCTGAGCACCTCTGCAAAAGCAGTGATAATGTGTGAGTGTGGTGAAAGTGTTGAATGATGATGAAAGTATTTTCTTTTTGGGGATTTTCTTTCTTTTTTGGGTCACCCTGCCTCGGTGGGAGACGACCGACTTGTTGAAAAAAAAAAAAAAAAAAAAAAAAAACTTTTGTTTTTCTTTTTTAGGTCAGCCTGCCTTGGTGAGATACGGCAAGTGCATTAAAAAAAAAAGTTTCTCCATCTCCTATTTTTAACCTGGATGTTTTTTGTGTTATGTAATACTCTTATTGCCAAGAGTGCTGAGAGATCCCTTAGGTTAGTGCTCTTCATATCTCACAGCTTCCTTCATCTCTTCAGGTTTTTACTCTCTCCTTCCTTATGTCTCAGTTCCTCACATGTTGTTGGCCTCTCAGGATTATCTTTGTGGTGGGTGAGGAGACGGTAGAGGCAAGGGCGACACTCACAGTGGAAAAAAGCACAGCCTTCGAATTGACTCTGCAGGTGGAGGCACAGTATGGTCTCGTCCTGTATGAGTGCCGGGCCCTCAACACAAACATCACTTTCCACTGCACCATCAATGGCACTTGCAGTACCTCCTACAGGAGGCTCCGGCCTGGCAGCAAGGTAAAATATCCTAGCATCAGTTTCCTGGTCCTGGAATGAATTCTGTGTTGTGAAGACAGTCTCCATGAGTGTTCAGTGTGAATGACACATACAGGTTTATTAATATAAAAATAATAATTTTTCTTTGGAATTCAGAATGCTCTTGTCTATATGACTAATAGGGCTTAACATTTCCTTTCAATTATAATAATAATGTGAGATGAAAATACATACAAGTACATTCATACATACATGCATACACTACACAAAGTTTTGCCTCAATGTCCACATCCATGAAATGGAAATATAACCCATGACCATCTGGGTCATGTGAAAATATGCATCATATATCTGAGTTTACCCTAGACACACTTCCTCTAGACAGGCCTCTCCCATAAAAATACACATACACACACACGCACAACCCCTTCAGCCTCGATTCTTGTTAAACACTCGCACACAGCTTCACCTTAACCTGCTCCTGTCTTTTTTTGATAATTCCTCCAGTTTTCATTTTCAGTTCAACATCCTGATAGTATGGAGACAAAATGTGGAGAGACTGTTGAACTACACACAGACACAGGAGGAGTCTATCCTGCAGACTGATCTGTCTGTATGGGTACTGAACCAAAGAAACCACACTGATAACCACCGCCACCTCCATCTCTTGCCCAGGGTCTCGCCTATCTTTGATCTTTCCGGGTAAGGGAAATTATTACATTCAAAAACACATACTAAACCAGAAGATAAATGGTATAAAGCTGACAAGTGGTGAAAAAGCACTAAGGCGAAGGTGTACACGAGTTCAACCTGGTGGCCATCAGGACCCCACAGGTTTTACCTCACAGTATGGCTGTGAGGTAAAACCCATAACTGGATCAAAACTGCCTCTGCTTCCTTGTCTGAGTTCATAGGTTCAAACCTATGGCATTTCATACATCTAAAAAAAATAGTGAACCTTGTACTTTGGAATCTAATTTTGAAAGCAAGTATCGAGCCTGCCTTCATTACTTTTGAAACCAGGTATCAAGTCTGCCTTCATTACCTAGCTTTAGGTCAATAGATTATATAAAAGGAATCAATAGGAGTCTGTATGACCCCTGTGAGCTTAGCACATTCCCATGACTATTATGATAGAGTGGACTGGTAATCCACTATTATAACTATCATAATACCAAGGCTGGAACAATTCACAAATAACCCACACTTATGAGAGGAAAATTTTATGTTTTGGTTTGTCCTGGATAATTGTCAGGTCACAACTGTTGTCTTAGTGATCCAGGACAGACCAAAATGTAGTCATCATTTTTCTCTTCTAAGTGCGGTTATTTGTGAAGCATAGCTCATTGTGAACTGCCTTCAGCATTTACAGCATCTCCTCACTTAATGACGGAGTTCTGTTCCTAAGACCACATCAGTAAATGAATTCATTGCTAAGCAAGGAGCATACTATAATGGTAGTGGGTTTGTGTCAACCATCTCTCATATTGTTTTAATGTCACCTTTGCACCATTTATAACATTTCTGGTATATTTTTAAATGTGTATACAATAGTGCACTGTATACTGTAATAAACAGAATAGAGGAAATCAGCTCTTAATATACATTAGATATGCATACTTGTCAGAGAGCCTGTCATAAGTCCGAATCGTCGGTAAACAAGTATGTCGCTAAATGAGGAGAGGCTGTACTTTGTCATGAAGCTCAAGCTTCCCACCTGCTTCATCCTGGTTCCTACTCTTATCAGACCACAACTCTGTAGTTTAGTAGGGTAGGAACCAGGTTGTTGACTTTTGTGTGTGTGCGGATGTACATATACTTGCCTAATTATGGATGAGGTGAGCAATCTCCAGCTCCTGGCTTCATCTTTAAACCAATACAGTAGGGCCCCGCTTTACAGCGTTTTGCTAATACGGACATTTGAAATTACAACCAAAACCTGTTATACAGCTCCCTACCTGACTCGTTATTATGGCCTCTGCACACCACTGTTTGTTTACATCCTCCGTGAGCTGAGCATCTCAATTATATCTGGAAACATTCCAAGATTTCAAGTTTTAAAGTTACTGCGTATTTTATATATACAGTGGTACTCCGAATTTCGGCCATAATTCATTCCAGAAGGCTGTTCGAGTGCTGCTACTGAATGAATTTGTCCATAAGGGAATAGTAAAATTGGTTTTCCCTTTCAGCCCCCCAAAAAAACTTTCAAAAATT